GCTGACACTCAATTGTGCAGCTGTAATGAAATGTCAATCCTTTCATAGTCACATAAATAAAATGGTCGAGGTGGTGCCTCTGTTGGAATTAAGCCCATTGTTTTATGTTTTCTGCATGGAAAAACATTTAGTGATGGGATCCTGCAACAAATAAGTTGTTCAGAATTTAAAAACACCATTCAGCAAAAGAAAATCTTTTAAAAGTATTGTTTTGGAATGTAGTGGCTACACTGAGTGCTCCAGCTGAGTGTATCCTTACCTTAAACAGGCAATTCTGAAGTACTGCCAAGATGAACCAAAGAAAAGAGGATAATGTATTTTCTGAAATTTAAGGTTTTTAATCGGATAATAGTCAACTGCTCACCTGCCACCACACCTGAAATTCATCACTGTAGTTAAAATATGCAGACACCAAAAATCCCATTCTGAAGTACTGCACACATTTTTTTAATGCAACTGTGTTCACACATCAGTGCATACAGTAGCAACCTGGCCAAGCACTTAATTGCCAAGTCAGCAAGCTCTCTAGAACAGTGAAAAAGTCAGAGTAGCTCAGAATTAGGAAAGACCACCAGTAGAGATGAAATGGTAACAGAATTAGCAGGATTCCTGTAGTTTAACAATCAAATCCAATTGGCATAATTCAAGTCACCAACAATTATTTTGGGAGCAAAATGTCTCAACATTTCAGGATTCAGTTTCTATTCTCAGTTCCCTTAGTTATTCATCACCATTTATTCTGCTCCATTTTGCAAGTAATTTATCTGTTGTGATTAGAAGTAGTTTGCTCTCTGTTTGCATTGCCTGTTGTAAACAGAAAGAGCTATAGAGCATTCCAATTTAACTGCAGAGTGGGAGAATATGCAATTTCAGGCAACAATTTTACTACTCAAAAAAAGCATGGTAAATGTGAGAATCCTTCATACGTTACATAATGCAGCAAACATTAAAACATGTAACATGATTTTCTCCAGAATACCTTCATCTAATAAAATTATTGTGCAAAATTAATTTATTTCCAACATTTTCTTCTTACACCGGAGGCAGTGGTGCTACATGGTGCGTTTGAAAAGAATTGTAAATAAAAACAGAAAATGTTAGAAATAGATATCAGGTCTGTCAGTATTTGAATGAGAAAAGACTTTAATGATTTGAACATAGTCCCTTTATTTGAAATGAAGAAGCTGCTTGTTATAAGGAACCCCACCTAAAATACTGGATTGAATTTTCATTCCTGGGATGGTATTCCAACTTTGGTCCTTTCTAGGACTCTGTTTCATATCCCTGCAAAAGTTCAATGCAATTTTGAACGAAGTAGCTAATTACTGTCCAAATGGCAAGTTCTGTGGGACATGCTTGGCAGAGACTAGACAAACCTGAGGGTACTGGCAGAGGTTGGAATACAGCTGTGTGTCAGCATGGTATGCACCCATAGAAGGGTGACCCCATGATGTGTCAATAATTCCCTGAATGCCTGTTAGAGATGGTGATAGCCCAGAGAAGTGTTTGGTTTCTGGAGATTGACAGGATGCTAGCCAGTCAGACAAAACAGGCATAGATGGAGCTGACTCATGTCATGGCCAGTACATTGGGTGCAACGCGGGAAGCACTTCAAATTCCTTTTGAGATCTGGCAATCTGAGTCCAATGCTACATTCAGGTGAGAGGCCTCCAATTCTGCAGTCGATCACTACAATACGCACGAGCAGAACAACCTGACGATGCCTAATGCTCGGGGACACTGGAGAATATTTCTGCTCTGGTTCACTCCTGAGCTATGTACAACCATACCACACAACAGTCTGTAGAGAAGGCAACAGTGTAGTCATGGATATCACACATGAATGAGACACACCACAGTCTCATGCATCCAGCTCTTGACTCTGTAAGAAAAAGAACATGGCATATGAAAAAGGGGGTCCAATGGTGGAGTTGTACACATTCAGGCAGCCATGGAAGACAGTGATTAAATCAGTGAGATAAAGATGGCTGTCTGCTTAGCACCCAGAGAAAGCATCATACCATTTTCATGTGAAGAAGATTGGGCTCCGTTCTAGTTGCTTGATTGCATGCCCAATGGATCAGCTGTCATGGCAGCTGCATCTCTGCAGAAACAGCACTAACAGAAGAGAGTTTTCCTAAGCAAAGTACAACACTGGGGGTACAACCTCATAACATCACAATGCTCTCAGCAGCACTTTCACAGTATCGGTGCAGAATCACCCTCAATGATGGGGCATAATGAAGGTTTAGAACAGATGACATATGGGGACCAGCACTTCAAATGTGAGAAGGAAATGGTGATGGAGGCTGAGGCTGATCTGATCAGTACCCTTGAAGGATGGAGAACAGACCCACTTATGGTTAGCTGGATGGAGATGTAGAGCTTCAGGGGTCTCACAAACCATGTGTCTTTCTGGAGCAGAAAAGTGACAGTGCGCCCTGGTGCAGTGTAGAGCACTGGGCAGAGAATGGAGGACTCCATGAGATGTACTTTGCAATGTCACTGCCATCATGGAACACAAGTTGCTCCATTGAAAGATTGGCCAACTGACAGAGAGCCATATGTGGCAATATACCAAGTGAACAAGGAAGCTTAATGTGAAGGAACCCTTGGAGACAGTGACCATGGTAGAATTTACTCTGCAATCTGAGAGGAAGAAGCTGGAATCAGATGTAACGCTATTACAGTTAAATGCAGGTAACTACAGAGGTATGAGGGAGGGGCTGGCCGGAATTGACTGGGAGAGGAGCCTAGCAGGAAGGACAGTGGAACAGCAATGATATGAGTTTCTGGAATTGGGGAGACACAGCAAAAGTTCATCCCTAGGGAAATGAAGCATACATTAGGGAGGATGAGGCAACCATGATTGACTAGGGAAGTCAGGGACAGCATTAAAGCACATAATGCAGTGAAGGGCAGTGGGAAGCCAGAGGATTGGGAAACCTACAAAGACCAACAGAGGACAATTAAAAAAGAAATAAGAAGGGAGAAGATTAAATATGATGGTAAGCTAGCCAGTAACATAAAAGATTGCGAGAGTTTCTTTACATATAAAAAGTGTAAAAGAGAGGCAAATGTGGGCATTGGGCAGCTGGAAAATGATGATGGAGAAGTAGCAATAAGGAAGAAAGAAATGGCGGAGGAACTGAACAAGTACTTCGCTTCAGTCTGCATGGTGGAAGACATGAGTAACATCCCAAAAACTCAAGACAGTTGGCAGGGGGGAGCGCGCAGAGATGAGTATGGTGGCCGTCACCAAGGAGAAGGTGCTAGAAAAACTGAAAGGTCTGAAGGTGGATAAAACACCTGGACCAAATGGACTACACCCCATAGTTCTGAAGGACATAGCTGAAGATGTTAGTGATGATCTTTCAGGAATCACTGGAGTCAGGGAGGGTCCCAGAGGACTGCAAAGTTGCTAATGTGAGAGTGAGGCAAAAGACGGGAAATTACAGACCTCAGTCATTGGTAAGATTTTGGAGTCTATTGTGAAGAATGAGATTTCTGAATACTTGGAAGTGCATGGTTAAATAGGGCAAAGTCAGCATGGTAAGTCATCAAGGGGATGACTGACAAATCGATTAGAATTCTTTGAGGAGGTAATGAGCAGGTTAGACAAAGGAGAGCCAATGGATGTTATCTACTTGGACTTCTAGAGGCCTTTGACAAGGTGCCACACAGGAGGCTGCTGAGTAAGATAAGGGCCCATGGTATTAGAGGCAAGGTACTAGCATGGATAGACGATTGGCTGTCTGGCAGCAAGTAGAGTGGGGATAAAAGGGTCCTTTCTCAGGATGGCAGCCAGTGACTAGTGGAGTTCCACAAGGGTCAGTGTTGGGACCACAACTTTTCACATTATACATTGATGATCTTGATGAAGTAACTGAGGGTATTCTGGCCAAGTCTGCAAATGACACAAAGATAGGTGGAGGTACAGGTAGTATTGAGGAGGTGAGGAGGCTGCAGAAGGATTTATAAAGGTTAGGAGTGTGGTCAAAGTGGAAAATGGAATATAACATGGTAAAATGCAAGGTCATCAACTTTGGTGGTAAGAATAGAGGGCACAGACTATTTTTTAAATGGGGAGAAAGATCAAAAATCTGAAGTGCAAAGGGACTTGGGAGTCCTAGTACAGGTTCTCTTAAGGTTAACTTGCAGGTTGAGTCAGTAGTTAGGAAGGCAAATGCAATGTTGGCATTTATTTCAAGCGGATTAGAATATAAAAGCAGGGATGTACTTCTGAGGCTTTATAAGGCTCTGGTCAGACCACATTTAGAATATTATGAGCAATTTAGGGCCCCACACCTCAGGAAGGATGTACTGGCCATGAAGCAGGTCCAGAGGAGGTTCACAAGAATGATCCCAGAAATGAAAGGCTTAACATAGGAGGAACATTTGAGAACTCTGGGTCTATACTCAATAGAGTTTAGAAGGATGAGGAGGATCTAATTGAAACTTACAGAATACCGAATGGCCTGGATAGAGTGGAAGTTGGAAAGATGTTTCCATTAGCAGGAGATATTAGGATCCGAGGGCAAAGCCTTAGAGTAAAGGGAAGACCCTTTAGAATGGAGATGAGGAGAAACTTCTTCAGCCAGAGAGTGGTGAATCTAAAGAATCCATTGCCACAAGAGGCTGTGGAGGCCAGGTCATTGAGTATATTTAAGACAGAGAGAGATAGGTTCTTGATTGTTATGGGGATCAAAGGTTCTGGGAAGAAGGCACGAGAATAGAGTTAAGAAACTGATCAGCCATGATTGAATGGATTTGATGGGCCGAACGGCCTAATTTTTGCTCCTATGTCTTATGGTTTTACAGAATACAGATACGTTGTATTGCCACATTTTGTAGCATTGACAAATCATTTGCACTGATGATGCAAAGATCACAGAATCATACAATCGCGACAGTATGGAAGCAGGTCATTCAGCCCATCGAGTCCACACCGACCCTCTGAACAGCATCCCACCCAGGCCTACCACTCCCCCCAACCCTATCCTTATAACCTTGCATTTCCCATGGCTTGTCCATCTAGCCTGTACATCCCTAGACACTACGGGCAATTTTGGCATGGCCAATCCACTTAACCTAGACATCTTTAGATGAAAAATTATCCGCCCGAGGGTCGAATCAAACCCAGGTCCCTGGCGCTGTGAGACAACAGTGCTAACCACTGAACCATTGTGCCACGCTAATGCTTGGCCAGGCAACCTGATGTGGTCAAGATGCTGATTTGCTCAGATGCGCACATGTACCTTGAAAGATCTGGGGCATCCAGGAATGATATTGAAGGAGGCATTCTTCATGGGCTCACCTGGCATTGGCCATTCCTTTGGCCCCTCTGAGACACCACCAAAATAGCCAATGCCCATGACCTCGGCTATTCTTGACCTTTGCAGATAGATCAGCAGGAGCAGTGCCAAGTCACTGAGCACAGATGCCACGGACACCTCAGCTTCATGCAGAGAAAAGAAATCAGCTTGTCTCCATCTTTAAGTCTACTGAGGGTAGAGGGAGAGCACCCTATAGGAGAGGCCACCTAAAAGTGATACCAAAACATTGTGTTTTTCTTAATTCTTCTGTTCACTGATTGGCCCTCAATTTAATGAAATGGTTTATGCCAACACTATGAATTCCATGCCCCTCTGTTTTGAGAACATTAAGGCATCAACATGATGAAGTAGACATGCGGCACAAAGGTAGGGAGTTTCTGCTGATGGTAACATGTCTTCCAGGCATTATTATGGAGATATAGGAGATGACTCTGCCCATCAGGCAATTTGTTTGTGGCTGTTCGTTGTATGTGGTGTGAATACCAGCTCGAATGAGCCTTCCTCACAAGGATCATATCTGGAATAGATCGATCTGGGCTCTTTCACCATCTCCGTAAACTGGTTCAACAGCTCAGCTACGTGTCCATAAAGCCTTGCAGAACATGATCACCATGTTACATCACATCTTCCTCTTCTGCTGAAGACATGGGCACTCCTCCTCTAAAGACATGAGGCACTCCTCTACATCTTCATTCACAGAGTCAGCATTTCTCAATACCACCATGCAAGGAGTTTACAGGAGGAAATGCCACACCCTGTCCACCCCTGATCAGTTAAGGCACCAGAACCACATTGTCAGGAGTCCAACGGCTTGCTCTATGGAGACCTCGTGTTAAAATGCAAGAGGTGTAGCAACTCTGTGCCTCCATTGTAGGATTGTACATAGGTGTCAAGAACCTTCCTTCAAATGATAACTGTTGGCCCCTAGCAGCCATCCATCTAGTCTTCTGGTGGCATGAGCACCTGCTGCCAAGATTCTTGGACAGGGCAGATGTGGAAAGATTATTTTCCAGGACCAGACGCATAATCTCAGAATAGGGGTTTGGACATTTAAGATACAGAAGAGAAGGAATTTCTTCTCTCAGAGAGTAGTGAATTTGTGGAATTCATTACCACAGAGGACTACTGAGGCTGGGTCATTAAGGACATTAGAAGCTGACATATGTAGATTTTTAATTCGTAAGAAATCAAGGGCTCTGGGGAAAAGCAGAAAAATGGAATTGAGGACTCAGATCTGCCATGATCTCATTGAATTGCAGAGCAGACACAATGGATTGATCGGCCTACTTCTGCTCCTGTGTCTTATGGTCTTATTGACTAAGGAAGAATACAGCTTTGCAACTGCTAAGAAATCTTTCACACACCTGCAGAAAATGCTTGCAGTGGTTTCATATAAGCTGCACACTGAAGGAATTAAATTGCATACTTTCTATAAATGTCACTGGCTGCATTGCTGCAATCTTGGTTGCCACATTGGTGCAGTCAATCACACCATGAACATGAAGACATCATGCCCATGGCACTGTGCTTGAGTGGTCTCATCAGTTTTGCTACATCAGTCCAGAACTCAGTGGATTCCAATGCTGTCTCAGAGGGCACCCAACATTTGCTATGATAGATAGCACCTTGTGAAATGCTACACATGTGAATGACCTAGTGGCAATGAAACTCAGCACTATTGGCACTGTCTAGGGGAAAGGTATGGTCACTCAACCAGTGGTGCACCAATTCTTTCACCATGAGTGTGCACACATTAGTGAATATATGTTTTAATATATGCAGCCTCCAGCAGAAATGCTCTTTGCCATGTTGAGGAAATTGATTCCTGGCAGTGCACACTATGGTGAGTACAGCATCTTTATGTTTTCCCTGCCATTCAGCATCATTTCTGCATCCCACAGCAGCAAGGAGCTCTATGTGCTCCTGGCAAAGTGTCTCCTCATCAAAACCTGTTGCCACCTCAGAGTGACTGAGCCCCATGCTTAGCCTCACCTGTTACCAGTTGCACAGACTACTGCCTAGATCCCTGTGCTTTACTCATTGACTTCCGCACAACTGCCTCAGCATCTCACCCTGAAACATTTAGCAAGCTCTGCTCAATACAGTGACCATTGAGTGTCAACACGAGCTGTTCACTGTTCTGTTCACCATTTACACAGTGTAAGACTGGCTCTTGTTTCTCTGACTGGCTTCCCACTGTGCAGCTACCTCATCTCCATGGAAATGCTGTGTTTCTCGTGTCTCACCTTCATAATCTCAAACATCTCTACAACAAGCTCTCAAGACTTGTCAACTGCCTCTTGCACCACTTTCTGGCAGGTTGTCACTACTTCAGGAAATGCTTTCAGCAAAACTACTGGAGTGCAGGACCATTTCAGGAAAGGGGCATAAGACACTGCCACATGAATTTGCTGGAATGTCCACCTCCGAGCCTGTCAGCTGCAAAATGAACTTGACTTTTCTCTTTCAAATTTTGACCGACCCATTTTCATTTCTGTTTATATTTCAGACTTCTGGCATTCAGTTTTCTATTTATCCCCAACAAAACTGGAAATACAATGGTGAAGAGAGTTGAAATGTCTTTATGAGTGATCCTGTGCTATAATCCCTTGGTTCCTACTACTGGTGAGATTTGTACTAATGCCACATATCAATAAAAGGGTCAAGTTGATGTATGCACTGGGTGAAACCCATATTCAAATCTGGATGCTTTGAAATTCCATTATAAAAAAAAATTCCCAACAATCTCAAAAATATAACAATACTCTTTAGGGAATGTAATACTCTCCCTCTTATCAATCAACTGTCAACCAACTGCTAGTCATCTTATTCACCTTGTTCAAAACCCACATATAAATCAAGAGATTAACGTAAGACTGCCTGATTTCAATAACATGAATTGCTTTCGTGCATTGACTTCCTCTTCCATCAGGGTTTTTATAGTGGGTCAGTTCTATTATTATGCCATTATGGGCTCAAGTGGTTTGCACCCATCTTTTGAGTTTCACAGTTCTGCTTTTTAAAGCAAAAACCACTTCAAAGTCAGCATGCTAATGTGCTCTGTTACGTACTTTACAGAGGTTCTAAAGAGCTGAGATGATAACTTCTGCAGATTTATTAGAGTTGGGTTGGTGATCTGTTGGAGTTGAAGTTCTCAACTTTGTATCCATAGTCAGGCACTCCTGGCTGCTTATGCAGGTTGGAGTAATGTCCATCAGTTCACCCGATGAACTGAATGGAAAGGATGGAGATACCGAAATCCCAGATGAGGTCCCAGCATCTGCTGATCCAACAAACAAACGGGGTGGTTTTGGCACTAAGTTGGGTTCAAACTGTGCTCGCATCAGGATCTCATGCTCACTTACTGACTTGGGAATTTCATTATATTCTTCTAAACTATCATCAAGTACCAAATGATAAATATCTTGGAAGGAGCTGCTTTTTCCATCCAGATTGAAAAGGCTGTCTATAAACTCAGCAAATTCAAGCACTTGTGGACTTGGCACGTCTCGCAGACTCTCTATCCATTCTTTACTGTCTTCTTCTATTGGCAACTTATCTGAAAAGCTATCTGTTTCCACCTCCGCAGCCTGTTTGTTCTCCTGCTCACCAAGGTCCACTTGCAGGGGACTAGGCAGAGAATAACAGCTGTTTTGTAGTGGTTCGAGTGGTTGCACCTCCTGAGAATGCTTAGATAAACTGTCTGCACCCAGTAACTCAGTCCGGGAGCTCAGGGAAGGATTCTCCTCTGGAATTGCTGGATCAATGTAGAAACAATGTGACTCATCTTTCTCCATGACAACATGCAGACTTGGAGAACCCCTTATGCTGCGAAATCCAGAGGAGCGGCGGGAATCAAAACTGTAGATAGACTCGTTGTCAGACAGACTTTCCATTGTGGCAAGAGGAGCCCTCCGCTCCTCTATTTCAGTTACCAGCCTCTCCTTAGTGTTCATTAGAAGCAACTCAACAGAGTCCTTTTGGCATGGCTTCTGTTTTGTCTGATAAAGATCTTCAAAACTCAGTTCAGATTTTGACTTACTCCTGAAAAGACAATGAACATTGTTAAACAACAAATACTGAGTCAAAAAATGTAAAAATAAATCGGGCAGTCAAGTGCTTACTACCTCAAATTACCTAAAAGTCTACTGAATTATATTTAACTCAGTAAGATACATTGAAGTTACATTTAGTAGGCAAACAAAAATTACAGAAAGCTTACAATACTTTTATTTGAATACTGTCCAATAGTGACAACATTATTATGAAGAATTTAGATTCCATGCTTCTGACAAAAGTTTGAACCCAACATCAGAAAGGTCCTGATAGCAAAGTTCAAATGTGCAGAAAAACAACAAATCTCCTTCAACCAGAGCACCGTAACCTGACCGGTAATTCACAATTATAGGAACTTTTTTTTTTAAGCAACAGAACAGGGAAACACTAGACATTAAGCATAGGATCACAGTCAAATTGAAAAAACATAAAACATAGAACAGAGAATGGCTAAGCAGACAAGGTGAATCCACCAGCAGTGGAGACAAAGTTTGAGCAAGAGACTGAGGGTTGGGCAGGGGGCAGCACAGCATGGTGGGGGGGGGGGGGGGGGGGGGGGGGGGGGTTTTGTTGCCCTGACAGCACCAGAGTGGGGATAAATAAGAAATGCTTAAATTTATGATGCACATTTTTTGTCCCATCGGTGATGGCTAACATAAGAGCTTCAGAGCATTGAATATTAGTTTGTATTTTATAGCTTAACTGTAATAACTGTTAATGTTCCAACAGTAATACTTTTTTTTTCTTGTTTTAAATAAGACAAAGTGGCTGTGTCATGAAATAGCACAAATGAATCAGTATTTCAATTCTAGCTAATGGTTTTTAGTCTTGCAGTATGAGCAACATATTGCTGACCAAAGTAGAAATTGTATCTTTGCTGTGCAATATTTTGAAGATCCACATAAGAGATCAAAGAAATCATCGCAAAGAGCGATAGTTTATTAGAAATTACAGGAAATACTTTTGAGGAGAATCTATTAGTCTCTTGAGATTCTATAGCATTGTGCCGTTTTAGAATCCTGCTGTTTCGAATTACGCAGGTATATTTTTGAGGAGCAACATTTTATTTCCCAACTTTGATGGCAAAGATACAATTTGGACATCCCATATTTTCTCCAAGCACTTGTCTACTTAGATTAGAAGCAATTTATTGAACACGTGTCTTACATAAATGACAATAGGAGCTTCACCTCATAAGAGAATCAATCAGCTTTGGACACTTGCTGCCGAGCCACAAATGCATGAATGGTAATGATAATTTATTCGAAGTTTCTTGAGTAGCAATTTAGTAGAGTTTCAGCTTGGAATCATAGAATGGCTAAAGCACAGGGGGAAGTCATTTTGCCTGTCGTATCCATAGTTTTCTACATTAACTTCACCGGCATGTATTTGCCCATTCCAACAGACTGTCTACATCCTCTTGAAATCCCTATCTTCCTCACTGTTCATAACACTTTACAGTTATACATACCGGTTCTCTGTTGGAGCAACTCCATAAGCATCACTTCCTACATTTTTCTTATAGACTTGCAATTTTTCTCTTTTGTGATAAACATTTAATTTGTTTTTAATAGCCAAAATTGAAACTATCTCACTTTCACACTCAGGAAGGTGCATTCCAGCTCTTAACTGCTCACTACACCATGTCTTTATTCCTCATGTCACTTTTGGTTCTTTAGCCAGTCCCTTTAAAACAGTGTCTGACGATTCTTAAACTTTCTGCCAAAACGAACAGTTTCTCCCTATTTGTTGTCTCCAGGCCCCTCACTCCTCTTCACCATCTGCCTATTCCACCAGATTGTCTACATCGTCTTGAAATCCCACTCTATTCTCCTCACAGTTTCCTCATACTTTGTGGTTATGCATCATCTGCAATATGCTGTAAATATGCTGAACATGTGTCTTGGTCATTAATTAAGAAAAGGGGTTCTAACACTGACCAATGGTTAACCTTTTGTCTACACATGGATGAAAATCACTTGAAGGTTATCAAGCTTGGAAACAAAACAATGAGGCCAGACCTGGGAATGCACAAAGTAACTATATTCCAAGCCAAGAAAAAGAAAACTTTTAGGCAAAGTGCAAAAAGAATGATGGATTAATAACGCTGGAAGTGGAAGGATGGCTTTTTCTCTTTTGCCTGCCTCTCTGAGCCTCTCAGAAGACGATGCCCTTGAAAAGCAAATCGGACAAATCAGAGAAAACATCTATTTACTGAGAACACGAAAATATCTTTTTACAAGTTACCAATTAAAAATCCATGGGGTCAGGTTGATCTTCCTATTGTATTAGAAACATTTCCTTTTTTAAACTTTATGCTTGCACTTGTGTGCATGTTTCTTGTTCATTTTATTATTTTCCTTGAGGTTGGTGAGTAATGAAATTCCTCTTTCTTTTACTCAAGAAAATCTTGTAATTGGCTCAATAATTGTGAACCAGAGAACTGTGTAAGATACTATCAACTTCAGTACTTTAATAGCTGTTCATGGATTGGAAGAATCAACAAAGTTAAACTATTACACATGAAAGAATCAGCAATAAATCTAACCGGAATTAATTATTCAGGGACAAGGATAAACTTATACAGAAATTGAAAGCAATTAGCCACGTCTGGGAGAAGTCGAAGTCGAAGTCGAAGTCGAAGCAATATGAACAAAATTGTTTTGACATCTGCTTGATAACTGGCTGCTTTATGCCACAAGGATAACTAACTGTCCTGCAGAAGAATTAAGGAGTTAAACAGAGGAAAGTTGTGTCTTCAAACAGATAGCTAACACTGAAAGTAACAAGGAACAGAGGAGTTACCTCTGATCAGGAAACAAGCTGTAGATTGAGAAGAAATCAAGATTTTGGATGAAAGAATCTAAATGATTCATCAATGATGTTACATCATAGACCTGAACAAGTAAGGAGCTGTCTAAGAATCCAACAACAGAACTCTTCTTCAGCAAAGCTTTGAAGAACAACAATGCACAAAGATCGAACCCTGGAAACTTCTGGAGACCATCACTGTTGTTTGGAATCATAGCTAAACTCCACCATTAAATCCGGTAATAGCCAGGTTGGGTTGTGAGGCTTAACTGCTTCCTTGAAGCGTCTTATTTTGGTTGATACATGCCATAAAGTTTAAACCATTGTTTCAGTATTTGATGGTTTGAGACGTTTCTTCATAAGTAGCTAAATTAAAAGGTAACTTGTGGTGATTTACCGCAACAATGTTTTAATTTAAGACTGATGAAAATAATTAAAAATCTTCATCGGAACCAACTTAAAAAGGGAGCCAATTTACCCTTCATCTGGTTATAGCCACAGAAACATAGAAAAGGTACAGCACAGAAAAAGGCCATGGAATCCATCATGTCCTTGCTAGATGAAAAAGCTAGACACCGACTCTAATCACACTTTTCAGAACCTTGGCCACAACTCTGCAGATTGCAAAGTTTCAGGGGCAGATCCAGCTTGCTTTTAAATGAGTTGAGGGCTTCCACATCAATCATCAAACTGCGCAGTTGATTCCAAACTCTGGGTGATAAAACAATATCTTTCATGTCCCCTCTAATCCTTTTACTAAATCACCTTAAATATACTTACCCAATAATTGAGGAAGATACTTTACCTCTTCTAAGTCCATGTATACGTGCATCACATAAACTGCATTAATCTCATTAACTGTCTTATCTCATCAAGTGAGTTAAACGCAATTTGCCTTTAACAAATATCTCCTGGCCTTTCTTTATGAATCCACATTTGTCCAAGTGACCGTTAAATTTGTCCCAGATTACCACTTCTAAAGGTGTTCCCACTACTGAAGTTACATTAATTGGCCTGTGGTTGCTGACATATCCTTACGCTCGGTATAGAACAAGAATTTAACAGATGATATTCTCTACTCCTCTGGTGACATCACTGTATCTCAGAAATATGAGAAGATTGGAACATACGATGAATTTATTTGCAAATTCCATCTTTATTTGCTAAGTATTTTTGGAAACATTCCTCTTTTGTTATGACTCTGGCAGCATCTTATTCCTTGTAAGACAGATACAAAATGCTCATTTAGTACCTCAGCCATGTCCTCTGATACCATGCTTAAACTCCCTTTCTGGCCCTGAATCAGTGTCAAGTTTTCTTTTACATTTTACATTATTTACAAGTCCATTGAAGATTTTTGGATCAGCAAAACCTAAGAACTAGGAGCAGGAGGTAGATAGTTCAGTCCCTCAAGCCTGCTCCGCCATTTAATGTGATTATTGCTGATCACATCCACTTCTGTGCCTGCTCCCCATAACACTTTAACCCATTACTAATTCAAAACCTATTTCCTCCTCAAATTAATCAGTACCCCAGATTCAACCAAACTGTGGAGATTAGCAACTCTTTGAAAGAAGTAATTTCTCATGTTTTTTAAATTTGCTACCTCTTATCCTAATACTTATTAGCTCACATTCCAGATTGCACCACATAAGGAAACATCCATTCTATATCTACTTTGCTAATCCCCTTTAGCATCTTATATACCTCAATTAGATCTTCTCTAAATTCCAGAGAAAGTAGGCCTAAAGTGCCTCAATCTTTTCATAAGGCAAACCCGTCATCTCTGGAATCAATCTAATGAACCTGCTCTGAACTGCCTCCAGTGCAACGACATCACTCCTCAAGAAGGGGACCAAAGGTGTATTCAATGTTCCGGATGCTGTCTCATTTATGCCCTAAGCAGTTAAAGCAATGCTTCCCTACTTTTATATTTAATTATTTTAGCAATAAATTCTAAAAATCCATTTGCTTTCCACCAGCTTTTACATTAGCTGTCATGCTCTCTCTTTGATTCTCTGAATTGCTTTCTCACTTCTTCTCTGAATTTTTCACCTTTAACCTATTTTTCACCCATATGACTGCCATATTTCTGCTTCATCTTATTCTCTATCTCTTTTGTCATCCAGGGAGCTCCGGCCTTGTTTGCCTCTGATATTCTGTAGAATACATTTAGT